TATTTCCTGTGGTTGGGTAAATTATTACCCTGTAATATAATACCTGGTTTAACTAAAATATTATAGGTCGATATTAAGGTCCAATGCCGTGCCGTTAGTTAATATTAAAAAGTGTCTTCGAATGTCCTTGTTTTAATGCACTATTTAAAATATACATAGAGTACCCTTTAATTCACCTATAATTATTTCCTGTGGTAGGGAACAATATTACCCTGTAATATAATATGTGGTCCAATTTAAATATTACGGTTCAATATTAAGGTCCGAAATCGGGCTTTACGTTAACATTGAAAAGTGACTTCGCGCTTCCTATCTTTAAAGGGTTTTAGAAGGCGAATTTCCTCGTTTTGAGCAATAGTGAATTAAGACAATTTTAAGGTCCGATACCGTGCCGTTAGTTAACATTGAAAAGAGTCTTCGAATTTCCTTGTTTTAATGCACTATTTAAAATATACATAGTGTACCCCCCAATTCACCTATAATTATTTCCCGTGGTAGGGTAAACTATTTCCCTGTAATATAATATGTATTCCAACTTAAATATTATAGGTCAATATTAAGGTCCGATATCGGGCTAACAGTGAAGAGGGACTTCGCGCTTCCAATCTTTAAAGGGTTTTAGAAGGCGAATTTCCTCATTTTAAGCTTTTCCGAAAACTTATTTTAGAAACGCACACATAGTAAAATACAGGAACTCATTGTGTACCCCCTAATTGGCCTATAATTATTTCCCGTGGTAGGGTGCACAATTTCCCTGTAATATAATACCTGGTTCAACTAAAATATTACAGGTCAATATAAAGGTCTGATATCGCGCCTAGCGTTAGTTAACCATTGAAAGATGTCTTTGAATTTTTAAAGCATTTTAGAAGTCTTATTTCTTCATTTTAAGCTTCTCAGAACACTTTATTTCACTTAGGCGTACATAGTAAACTTTAGGGTCTGGACAGCTGGCCGCCTTAAGCGGCTAGTTTAAAATATACATAGAGTACCCCCTTATTCACCTATAAATATTTCCTGTGGTAGGGTACACTATTACCCTGTAATATAATATTTGGTCCAATTTAAACATTATGGGTCAATATTAAGGTCCGAAATCGGGCTTTACGTCAACATTGAAAAGTGACTTCGCGCTTCCTATCTTTAAATGGTTTTAGAAGGCGAATTTTTTCTCGTTTTGAGCAATAGTGAATTAAGTCAATTTTAAGGTCAGATATCGTGGTGCTTGTTAGCATTGAAAAGTGTCTTCGAATTACCTTGTTTTAATGCACTATTTAAAATATACATAGTGTACCCCCTAATTCATCTATAATTATTTCATGTGGTAGGATACACTATTATCCTGTAATATAACACCTGGTCCAATTAAAATACTATAGGTCAATATTAAGGTCCGATACCGTGCCGTTAGTTAGTATTGAAAAGTGTGTTCGAATTTCCTTGTTTTAATGCACTATTTAAAATATACATAGTGTACCCTTTAATTTACCTATAATTATTTCCTGAGGAAGGGTACACTATTACCCTGTAATATAATATGTGGTCCAATTAAAATATTATAGGTCAATATTAAGGTCCGAAATCGGGCTAACAGTGAAGAGGGACTTCGCGCTTCCTATCTTTAAAGGGTTTTAGAAGGCGAATTTCCTGATTTTAAGCTCTTCCGAACACTTATTTTAGATACGCACTTTTATCAAAATACAGGAACTCATTGTGTACACCCTAATTGACTTATAATTCTTTCCTGTGGTAGGGTACACTATTACCCTGTAATATAATATCTGGCCCACTTTAAATATTATGGGTCAATATTAAGGTCAGATATCGCGCCTTGCGTTAGTTAACCATTGAAAGAATACTTTAAATTTTTAAAGCTTTTTAGAAGGCTTATTTCGTCATTTTAAGCTTCTCAGAACACTTTATTTGACATAGGCATACATAGTAAACTTTAGGGTTACGCTGTGTACCCCCTAATTGACCTATAATTATTTCCTGCGAAAGGATACACTATTACCCTGTAATATAATACCTGGTCCAATTTAAATATTATGGGTCAATATTAAGGTCTGATATTGCGCCTTGCGTTAGTTAACCATTGAAAGATGTCTTTGAATTAGNAGAACACTCTATTTCGCATAGGCATACATAGTAAACTTTAGGGTCACGCTGTGTACCCCCTAATTGACCTATAATCATTTCCTGTGGTAAGGTACACTATTTCCCTGTAATATAATACATGGTCCAATTTAAAAATTATAGGTCAATATTAAGGTGCGATACCGTGCCGATAGTAAACATAGAAAATGTATTTGAATTTTTAAAGCTTTTTAGAAGGCTTATTTCTTCATTTTAAGCTTCTCAGAACACTTTATTTGACATAGGCATAATTAGTAAACTTTAGGTTCACGCTGTGTACCCCCTAATTGACCTATAATAATTTCTTGTAGTAGGGTTGACTATTACCCTGAAATATAATATGTGGTTCAACTTAAATATTATAAGTCAATATTAAGGTCTGATATCGCGTCTTGCGTTAGTTAACCATTGAAAGATGTCTTTGAATTTTTAAAGCATTTTAGAACGCTTATTTCTTCATTTTAAGCTTCTCAGAACACGCTATTTCGCATAGGCATACATAGTAAACTTTAGGTTCACGCTGTGTACCCCCTAATTGACCTATAATTATTTCCTGTGGTAGGGTACACTATTACCCTGTAATATAATACGTGGTCCAATTTAAAAATTATAGGTCAATATTAAGGTCCGATACCGTGCCGTTAGTTAACATAGAAAAGTGTCTTCGTATTTCCTTGTTTTAATAGTAAAATACAGGAACTCATTGTGTTTCCCCTAATTGACCTATAATTATTTCTTGTGGTAGGGTACACTATTACCCTGTAATATAATACCTGGTCCAATTTAAATATTATGGGTCAATATTAAGGTCTGATATCGCGCCTTGCACTATTACCCTATATCGCGTTACACTATTACCCTGTAATACAATACCTGGACCAACTAAAATATTATAGGTCAATATTAAGGTCTGATATCGGGCCTTGCGTTGGTTAACCATTGAAAGATGTCTTTGAATTTTTAAAGCATTTTAGAAGGCTTAATACTTCATTCTTAGCTTCTCAGAACACTTTATTTCGCATAGGCATACATAGTAAACTTTAGGGTCACGCTGTGTACCCCCTAATTGACCTATAATTATTTCCTCTGGTAGGGTACACTATTTCTCTGTAATATGATACCTGGTCCAACTAAAATATTATTGGTCAATATTAAGGTACGAAATCGGGCATTACATTAACATTTAAAAGTGACTTCGCGCTTCCTATCTTTAAAGGGTTTTAGAGGGCGAATTTCCTCGTTTTGGGAAATAGTGAATTAAGTCAATTTTAAGGTCAGATATCGTGCCGTTTGTTAGCATTGAAAAGTGTCTTCGAATTTCCTTGTTTTAATGCACTATTTAAAATATACATAGTGTACCCCCTAATTGACCTATAATTATTTCCTGTGGTAGGGTACACTATTACCCTGTAATATAATACGTGGTCCAATTTAAAAATTATAGGTCAATATTAAGGTCCGATACCGTGCCGTTAGTTAACATTGAAAAGTGTCTTCGAATTTCCTTGTTTTAATACACTACTTAAAATATACATAATGTACCCCCTAATTCACCTATAATTATTTCCCGTGGTAGGGTACACTATTTCCCTTTAATTTAATATGTGGTCCAACTTAAATATTATAGGTCAATATTAAGGTCCGATACCGTGCCGTTACTCAAAATAGAAAAATGTCTTTGAATTTTTAAAGCTTTTTAGAAGGCTTATTTCTTCATTTTAAGCTTCTCAGAACACTTTATTTGACACAGGCATACACAGTAAACTTTAGGGTCACGCTGTGTACCCCCTAATTGACCTATAATTATTTCCTGTGGTAGGGTACACTATTACCCTGTAATATAATACCTGGTCCAATTTAAATATTATGGGTCAATATTAAGGTCCGATACCTTGCCGTTAGTTAATATTGAAAAGTGTCTTCGAATTTCCTTGTTTTAATGCCCTATTTAAAATATACTTAGTGTACCCCCTAATTGACCAATAATTATTTCCCGTGGTTGGGTACACTATTACCCTGTAAAATAATATGTGGTCCAACATAAATATTATGGGTCATTATTAAGTTCCGAAATCGGGCTTTACGTTAACAGTGAAGAGGGACTACGCGATTCCAATTTTTAAAGCTTTTTAGAAGGCGAATTTCCTCATTTTAAGCTTCTCAGTAACACTTATTTCCCATATGCATACATAGTAAACTTTATGGTCACGCTGTGTACCCCCTAATTGACCTATAATTAATTCCTCTAGTAGGGTACACTATTACCCTGTAATATAATACCTGGTCCAACTAAAATATTATGGGTCAATATTAAGGTCCGATACCGTGCCGTTAGTTAACATAGAAAAGTGTCTTCGTATTTCCTTGTTTTAATGCACAATTTAAAATATACATAGTGTACCCCCTAATTCACCTATAATTATTTCCTGTGGAAGGGAACACTATTAACCTGTAATATAATATGTGATCCAATTTAAATATTATGGGCCAATATTAAGGTCCGAAATCGAGTTTTACGTTAACATTGAAAAGTGACTTCGCGCTTCCTATCTTTAAAGGGTTTTAGAAGGCGATTTTACTCATTTCAAGCTCTTTCGAAAACTTATTTTAGATACGCACACATAGTAAAACACAGGAACTCATTGTGAACCCTCTAATTGACCTATAATTATTTCCCGTGGTAGGGTACACTATTACCCTGTTATATAATACCTGGTCCAAATAAAATATTATAGGTCAATATTAAGATCCGATACCGTGCCATTAGTTAACATAGAAAAATTTCTTTGAATTTTTAAAGCTTTTTAGAAGGGATATTTCTTCATTTTAAGCTTCTCAGAACACAGTATTAGACATAGGCATACATATTAAACTTTAGGGTCACGCTGTGTACCCCCTAATTAACCTACAATTATTTTCTGTGGTAGGGTTCACTATTACCCTGTAATATAATACCTGGTCCAATTTAAATATTATGGTTCCATATTAAAGTCTGATATCGCGCCTTGCGTTAGTTAACCATTGAAAGATGTCTTCGTACATATATATTACATATTATATTATATTACAGGGTAATACATATTATATTACAGGGTAATAGTGTACCCTACCACGAGAAATAATTAAAGGTGAATTAAAGGGTACGCTATGTATATTTTATATAGTGCATTAAAACAAGGAAATTCGAAGACACTTTTCAATGTTAACTAACGGCGCGATATCAGACCTTAATATTGACCTATAATATTCTAGTTGAACCAGGTATTATATTACAGGGTAATAGTGTACCCTTCCACAGGAAATTATTATAGGTCAATTAGGGGGTACACTATGTAAATTTTAAATAGTGCATTAAAACAAGGAAATTCGAAGAAACATTTCAATGCTAACAAACGGCACGATATCTGACCTTAAAATTGACTTAATTCACTATTGCTCAAAACGATAAAATTCACCTTCTAAAACCCTTTAAATATAGGAAAAGCGCAGTCAGTTTTCAATGTTAAGGTGAAGCCCGATTTTGGACCTTAATACTGACCCGTAATATTTAAATTGGACCACATATTATATTGCAGGGTAATAGTGTACCCTACCACAGGAAATAATTATAGGTGATATAGTGGGTACACTATGTATATTTTAAACAGTGCATTAAAACAAGGAAATACGAAGACACTTTTCAATGTTAACTAACGGTACGGTATCGGACCTTAATATTGACCTATAATATTTTAATTGGACCAGGTATTATATTTCAGCGTAATAGTGCACCCTACCACAGGAAATAATTATAGGTGAATTAGGGGGAACACTATGTATATTTAAAATAGTGCATTAAATCAAAGAAATTCGAAGACACTTTTCAATGTTAACTAACGGCACGGTATCGGACCTTAATATTGACCTACAATATTTTAATTGGAAAGGTATTATATTACAAGGTAATAGTGTACCCTACCGCAGGAAATAATTATAGGTCAATTAGGGGGTACACAGCGCGATCCTAAAGTTTACTATGCCTATGTGAAATTAAGTGTTCTGAGAGGAAATTCGAAGACACTTTTCTATGCTAAGAAACGGCACGATATCTGACCTTAAAATTGACTTAATTTACTATTGCTCAAAACGAGGAAATTCGCCTTCTAAAACCCTTTAAAGATAGGAAGCGCGAAGTTAACGTAAAGCTCGATTTCGGACCTTAATAATGACCCATAATATTTGAATTGGACCACATATAATATATTGCAGGGTAATAGTGTACCCTACCACAGGAAATAATTATAGGTGAATTAGGGGATACACTATGTATATTTTAAATAGTGCANTCTAAAGCATTAAAACAAGGAAACTCGAAGACACTTTTCAATGTTAACTAACGGCACGGTATCGGTTCTTTATATTGAACTATAATATTTTAGTTGCACCAGGTATTATATTACAGGGTAATAGTGTACCCTACCACAGGAAATAATTATAGGTCAATTAGGGGGTACACAGCGTGACCCTAAAGTTTACTATGTATGCCTATGTGAAATAAAGTGTTCTGAGAAGCTTAAAATGAAGAAATAAGGCTACTAAAATGATTTTAAAATTCAAAGACATCTCTCAATGGTTAACTAACGCAAGGCGCGATATCAGACCTTAATATTGACCCATAATATTTAAATTGGTCCAGGTATTATATTACAGGGTAATAGTGTACCCTACCTCAGGAAATAATTATAGGTCATATAGGGGGTACACAATGAGTTCCTGTATTTTACTATGTAAACAAGAAAATACGAAGACACTTTTCTATGTTAACTAACGGGAAATAAGCGTTCTAAAATGCTTTAAAAATTCAAAGACATCTTTCAATGGTTAACTAACGCAAGGCGCAATATCAGACCTTAATATTGACCCATAATATTTAAATTGGACCAGGTATTATATTACAGGGTAATAGTGTACCCTACCACGGGAAATAATTATATGTCAATTAGAGGGAACACAATGAGTTCCTGTATTTTACTATGTGTGCGTATCTAAAATAAGTGTTCGGAAGAGCTAAATAAAGTGTTCTGAGAAGCTTAAAATTAAGAAATAAGACTCTTTTCGAAGTCACTTTTCAATGTTAACGTAAAGCTCGATTTCGGACCTTAATATTGACAAATAATATTTAAATTGGAGCACATATTATAATACAGGGCTATAGAGTACCCTACGACAGGAAATAATTATAGGTGAATTTGGGGGTACGTTATGTATATTTTAAATAGTGCATTAAAACAAGGAAATTCGAAGACACTTTTCAATGTTAACTAACGATACGGTATCGGACCTTAATATTGACCTATAATATTTTAGTTGGACCAGGTTTTATATTACAGGGTAATAGTGTACCCTACCACAGGAAATAATTATAGGTCAATTAGGGGGTACACAGCGTGACCCTAAAGTTTACTATAAATGCCTATGTGAAATAAAGTGTAACTAGCGCAAGGCGCGATATCAGACCTTAATATTGACCTATAATATTTCAGTTGAGCCAGGTATTATATAACAGGGTAATAGTGTTCCCTACCACGGGAAATAATTATAGGTCAATTAGGGGGTACACAAAAAGTTCCTGTATTTTACTATGTGTGCGTATCTAAAATAAGTGTTCGGAAGAGCTTAAAATGAGGAAATTCGCCTTCTAAAACCCTTTAAAGATTGAAAGCGCAAAGTCCCTCTTCACTGTTAGCCCGATTTCGGACCTTAATATTGACCTATAATATTTTAGTTGAACCACATATTATATTACAGGGTAATAGTGTACCCTACCACGGGAAATAATCATAGGTCAATAAGGGGGTAAACAGCGTGACCCTAAAGTGTACTAAGTATGCCTATGTGAAATAAAGTGTTCTGAGAAGCTTAAAATGAAGAAATAAGCCTTCTAAAATGCGATAAAAATTCAAAGACATCTCTCAATGGTTAACTAACGCAAGGCGCGATATCAGACCTTAATATTGACCTATAATATTT